TTGTATTGACAAGATGAAGAATTGGTCAAATTTTCATGAAGGCGGGTCTAGCGGTTTCGGAGATCTAACAAAAAAAGTAAAAAAAAGCCATTTGGCGGTCAAAAATGAACATTAGACATATGTACATCAAATTATCAGATATTTTATAGAGATTTTAACAATAAGTATAAATTTTGTTTACATTCCTATGGGTTCCGTACCAATGTTTACGCGTTAGACGGCGACGCGGCGCTTACGCGCTTCGATATTTCATCTTTATGCAGTTAAAGCAGTACGACTGCTTTGAAAAAAAGTTCAGAATTTCCAAAATAATTGTTTCTCAAAAAACTTCCTGGTTTTATTGATTTTTGGATTCATTGTTCGAAGCTCTACAATATGTGCATCTTACATATAAAATTTTTCTGTAATTATCAATGTAAAGATACTCCTCCTGAACGATTATTCGGATTTTGATAAATCTTTCTGAAGTTTGTTAAGATTAAGATAAGATATTAAAAAATGAAATAAAATGGCAAAAACGACTTGCCATTATTTGACATTGAAAATAGTTTGACTAATTAGAACTGTCACCTGCCAGAAATTTCAATTCAATATGAGCCTAGACAATATTAGAATATAATATATCCATAAATATGAATAAGAAAAATGTAATGTTTACATTATTATTGCCAAAAAACCAAATCTTGCTTTTTAAGTTTTTTTCTATTACACAAATATTAGAGTTATGATTGTTTAAAGATTGCGCGGTAGTGCAATCAGTATCTCTTTCGAGCCCTTTAACCCTTTGTCGTTCAAAATAAGAGAAGTAACGGTAAAATTTTGATAAAGAAAGTCGAAGGTCTATTAATTACATTTAAAATAGCATTATATAAGTTCTGATAAAATCAGAATTAAAAGAGTTATAATTCAATTAATGCGGTGACATTAACCTTCCCGGGGGTGGTGACGGAGTGCAAATTGTTTTCACTTCTGAACTTAAGGTTAAGATAAGCTAAGGGTAACTCAAGGGTATCATGCAAGTTGGAGTATAGTAAAAAAAATTACAGTTATTTTTCTCTTCATTTACTGCACTTAATCTAGTTGATCGTAGATTAAATAGTGCACATATGAACAGGTTTTGACAAACTAATTCACTTAAAATATGAACTTAAGTAATAGTGTATATTGAATTACTAGTGAGGAGAATGTAATTTAAAATTTATAATTACTGAAAACCAGTTAAAATTAGTTTTGGGTGAAAAAATTCAAAGTTATGTTGTACCTTTACCCTATATACTATATATTAGGTTGTCAAATATCTCCCATCCGCCTTTTTGTATTATAAACCAATAGCAAAAAAGCGGAAGGGAGATATTTGACAACCTAATATTAATTCTTTCTGAATTTGTTATACTGTTTAATGCACTGCAATTTCCAATACGTATATCCTATACGTATTGTATTATACGTAGATCATAATTAACTAGTTGGTTTGGTATTTAGCCTTGAGACAAGTTACATGAACTTCCCGATATGTGTAATTAATCGACTTAATCAATAAAAAATAATTTAATTGATGAGTGATTAGAAATATTCCGAGTGGATTCATTACACATGATTGAAAACGAACGAACACTTTCACTTGGAGTATTTTCTAATAGCAAATTTTCAAAAATCACCAGTTTTTATAATTGAACCAGTTTCCATAGGACTTTAATGGTTTACTATGTTCATTAAAACCAAGTGCTCTATCGTTATACCAAGTAAATCGTGTAATTTTAATTTTAACAAACGTCAAAAAAACTACTCATTTTCTTAATCTTTGATTAATTTTTAAAATTAAACTACTTGTCGTAAGGCCGTGATATTTCAGTAAGTTCTATAAGACCATGATATATATCGCCAAAAAAAGTTCCATGAAAATCTGCTTAATTTTTTTTTCAACAGTTAATTACAAGAAAACGGCTCGGTAGATTTTCACCTAAAACTAATCAGTATCATTCCCAACTAATATCTTTCGAACAGTTTTTGATTTTTTAAAATCGATTCGGTAGTTTGAGCTTGAATGAGGACGAAAAGTTTAACACTTATTTTCAAATTACAAAGAAACGGCTGGGCAGATCGTCTCACAAAACTGACAAACGATATTCCTCATTGAGATACATCAAATGGCTTTTAAATTTCTGAAATCGGTTCAGGCGTTTTTGAGAAAACGTCGATCAAAGGTTTAATTTTGTCAAATGCCAAAGAAACGATACTAATTTTTGCGAACTTTGACGATTTTTCAGAATTAAACGACTTGTCGTAGGGCCCGTAATATTTTAGTATGATCTAGAACAGGGCT